CATGTCAGCATGAATAACATTTGTGTTTATGAAAAATAATTGTATTATTCAAATAAAAAATTAAAAGAGTGAAATGTCACTCTTTTTAGATTTTTGCAATCACTTTCATGTTTGAATTGCTGAAAAACTGTCAAATGTTCTCCTCTGCACCCTGTCTGTTGTGATCTGAGGTTTTAGTTGAGCGATGTGAATAAAACATCGGAGGAAGACTTTAATACTCTTTTCAGATAATTGTAGAGATTCATTTAAACCTCACCAAAGCTCCACCAGTGGTCGTTTCTCAAAGACCAGTTACAATCTGTGTGCATGTGTGCTCAGTCGTGTCTGACTCTGTGACCCCATGGACTGCAGCCCGCCAGGCTCCTCTGTCCTTGGAATTTTCCAGGCAAGAATACTGGAGTGGGTTGCCATGCCCTCCTCCAGGAGACCTCCCCAACCCAGGGATGGAACCCACGTCTCTTGTGTCTCCTGCATTGGGAGGAGGATTCTCTACCACTGCACCACCTCGGAAGCCCACAGTTACAACACTGAGTGTGAAACCAATGGCCTTGGTTTCAGTGACCTTGAAACCAAACACCAATGACCTTTTCCATACTCCATTAAGTTAAAGTTCTGTGGCCTGTGTTACCCTTTGAAATAAATCTTTTACCATTATTTTGAGCTGTCATGCACTAGTCATTCGAAAAATACTAGCTCCCTGAGTTATGCAGATCTTATGAATGTTGACATGATACAGTACATTATACAATATCAAAATCACATTTGTCAATATCACCACAGTCCCACCAGAGCCTCAAAATTGGGGAGCTAATGAGCTCACAGTAGCAGATGCGAGTTTTCCAAAATTCCAATTTTCACTTGAAAGCTTGAGTTTGATCATTGGCAACAAATTCTGTCAGTTATTTTCCTTGAAATGACAAGTTAACTTTGTTCTTTCTTTTTTTTTTTTAAGAAAATGTCTGCCAAATATCCAAGTCTGAGTAATCGTTATTTGTCTGTCAGTGGTTCTTTCAAGTAGAAATGATGTCCTATGAAAAAAGTGGCTAATTCGTCTCACAAAAGCAATCGTAGCTGTGCTTTTTCCCGAGGTGACCCCTACACTTCTGTATACAGCAAAGGGCCTTCTGTGTATGTGCTTCCCACCATGTCATGAAGAATGTTCAGAACAGGTAGACTCAGGCCCAAGATTTAATAAAGCTGTCATTTTTTACTGCATCACAAAGAACAATCTGAAGTGAAGCTGGTCTTTTTTTGTTTTTTGTTTTTTTCTAAACCATGAATATATAGCAGTGAAGAATACAGTGACCATTTAGTACAGATTGATACCACTATTATTCAAACTAAAGCACCGATAGTTTATCCACCAATGCTTTTGCACCATTATCATAAATATCAACCAGTGACAAGGGCAAATAACATCTTCATTTTCTTATGAAAGTGGTTTTGACTTCATGGGCCCCTTTAAAGCATCTTAGGGACCCATAGGGGTTCCCTGGAATACAGCTTGAGAGCTGCTGGCTGAAGCATCAGTCTTTCTCAGTGAATCATGTCTGACTCTTAGGCTCCTCTGTCCATGGAATTCTCCAAGCAAGAATAGTGGAATGGGTAGCCATTGCCTTCTGCAGGGGACCTTCCCAACCCAGGGATCAAACCTGGGTCTCCTGCATTGAAGACAGATTCTTTACCATCTCAGCCACCAGGGAAGCCCTTGGGTCACGTGGTGACACTCAAATCTGTTATATGAATTCCCCACCTGCTATAAGGGAACTCTTGAAGGAACAGTTTCCCAGGCTTTAGAATCAATCCCATTCTCTTGGCCTGAAACTTGCTACAAAGTGCTATTTATTTTTCCTGTGGGCTTTACAGCTCACTCTGAACTCTTAGAAACCATTACATCAGTTTAGTCATGTCGAACAATGTAAGATCTATAATTTGTAATTCTTTGCCTTGCCAGACCGAATCCTAGAAAGTGTTACTGAGCAGTGGTGTCCAAGACTTGAGAGTCACTGTAGACAACTGGTTAAAAAATATTAATTTCCAGGCCCCATCCCCAGGGCCCAGGAATCTGTATGTTTATTTTGCTTCCCAAGTTATCGTGGAAAAGGCGAACTGGACCTAGTCTCCTGGCCAGATGTTTTGGGTGTCACTAGCTGGAACCAACTAAAGAGAAACATACATTTAATGGCTGGGACTGTTTTAGGTAAATACTGACTTGTCGGAACTCCTGAATATGTGTCCTAGTGGCCACCTACATGCTTGGCATTTTTTTGAGCCGGGGTCATCTACCTCTTACTTCATTGATTTTTTCCAACTCCCAGTCTCGTCAGCATGTTTTCCAATGGCCATTTCTCTCTCCTTTTCTTCTTCTTACCAGAGGCTTTGTCATCTCATTGGCAAGATATCGATTAGTTTATTACTTTTTAAATTCTTGGGGACATATTGTTTCACTAAAGGTGTTCGAATGACTCTGTATGCCAGTGTGCACTGACTCTGGGGAGGTGTTAGATGCAAGATTCTGGGATCAATAAACAAGGCTGACAATCTCCGAATAATCCTCTCAGTCTGGGCATGTCTGGCATTCCATAAACGTGCAACAGATGCACAAACCACATCCACCTTTGACACTGTGAGCTCAGTCTACAGGACTCATCCTATTTTATCCTCATCCATACTCCTGTGGGGCTTCCCTCACGGCTCAGGTGGTAAAGAATCCACCTGCCATGCAGGAGACCTGGGTTCAATCCCTGGGTTGGGAAGATCCCCTGGAGAAGGGAAAGGCTACCCACTCCAGTATTCTGGCCTGGAGAATTCCATGGACTGTATAGTCCCTGGGGTTGCAAAGAGTCGCACACGACTAAGTGACTTTCACTTTCACATACTCCCGCCAGAAATGTGGGACAAGGATCGTTATGCCATTTTGCAGTGAGGAAGGTGAGTTCTAGAAAGATAAAGGAGGAAATGCTTTCAGTTTTTCACCATTGAGGGTGATGCTTGCTGTGGGTTTGTCATATATAGCTTTTATTATGTTGAGGTATGTTCCTTCTATTCCTGCTTTCTGGAGAGTTTTAATCATAAATGGATGTTGAATTTTATCAAAGGCTTTTTGTGCATCTATTGAGATAATCATATGGTTTTTATCTTTCAATTTGTTAATGTGGTGTATTACATTGTATATGTGCAAAACAGAAAAAGAGACTCCTATGTATAGAACAGACTTGTGGACTCTGGGAGAAGGCGAGGGTGGGATGTTTCAAGAGAACAGCATTGAAACACGTATATTATCTAGGGTGAAACAGTTCACCAGCCCAGGTTGGGTGCATGAGACAAGTGCTCGGGCCTGGTGCACTGGGAAGACCCAGAGGGATTGGGTGGAGAGGGAGGTGGGAGGGGGGACCGGGATGGGGAATACATGTAAAAAAAAAAAAAAAAAAAGATACACTATGGTTGTGATAAAAAAAAATAATAATAAATAAATAAATTTAAAAAAAAAAAAAAGAAAGAAAGATAAAGGAGGGTTCAACCCAGGAAAAACTGGAAGATTTAGGAGTGAGAAAGAATCTTCAAATACAGAAGGCTTGGTATCTGGAGGTGGGACTAGCCCAGTCTGCCTTTCCCCAAAGGGCAGAACTATGCAGAAGGCATATGCAGGGGGCAGCAAAATGCAGGAGCTCTATGGGCTTCAGAGCCCAGATCCTTCATTTCTCAACTGGCTGATGACGGCAAGATGCTGACCTCTCTGAGCATCAGTTTCCTCAATAGGACAAGGGGTGATTAGAAATAATCTCTATCCAAAAGCAGATGCTCAACAAAATGAGGCTCAGACGTAGGTCTCAGCTCAACCTTCTATCAGAGAGAAAGAATCTTCTATCAGAGAGAGCAGTCTCTGAATACCATGTTTCGCTTGCAGCACAGTGAGGTTCTTGTTAAGAGGAAACTGAATTGTGTAGGGTGGGAAATTTGACAATCAGAAAATTTCTCACCTCTCCCAATTCCAAGATTCTGTGATGTGTTCTGGGATATATTCACATGTTCTGTACTCATCTCTGCTCTTCAGAGATGCTCTCTGCTGCCTCAAAGCATAAACTCTCTGTCCAGAGTGCTCCTCTTTGCCTACCCAATTCCTCAGTTTTGATGAAACCTCCCTTTCTCAGAGAAGCATTCCCTGACCTGCCTCCTTCCCCCTACGTTAACTGAATTACTAACTACACCTTAGCAATCCACACAAGAGCCAAGCAAAGAATACCGGCTTTCTGACTCCCAGGTTCAGTCTCTCTTCACCAGATCTGGTCAGATGTTACAAAACCACAGTCCAGCAGTAACTCCTACAACCCAGCCAAGTACATTATAAAACCATGAGATTCTGAAGCAGCTGCTCTGCCTGTTTCAGAAGACCATGACCACTGAGTTCCAAGTTCACTACCATGTATTAGGTTCCTAATACATGCCAAGACAATGCCGTTTGCAGGTGCTTGGACTTCCTCAGTGGCTCAGTGGTAAAGAATCCACCTGCAATGCAGGAGATGCAGGACACAAGTGTTCGATCCCTCAGTTGGGAACATCCCCTGGCAGAGAGCATAGCAACCCACTCCAGTATTCTTGCCTGGAGAATTCCATGGACAGAGGACCCTCGTGGGCTACAGTCCATGGGATTGCAAAGAGGTGGACATGACTGAAGTGACTGAGCGTGAGCACACAAAAATAATTCACAATAAGTGATGATCTAGCAGCCCAGGCTAGAGGGCAAGACCAATGTTCTTGACAGAAGTTGGGGAAACACATCATCTACTGTGAAGGGAGCTACCTTCTACTTGAGAAGGGAGCTCTAGGCTCGGACCAGGGCCCAGAGAAAGTGTCACTGGAGAACTGAGACACAAACACACCAATGCTTCCCATTCCTTACAATCAGGAATGTTCTTGCTGTATCTTGCCAGGTCAATGGATGTATTCCTGGGGCAGAACTCCAGCTGCTGGTTTCCATGGCACTGTGATTTATCTTTCAGAGTTTCTGCAGATGAGCAAGACGCCTTCATGACTTACACGGTGTATGATGATGTCATCACCATTAAGCTCATTCAAGAGGCCTGCAAGGTTCTTGGTAAGTCCAAATAGGGCTTTCTTATTGGGTCCGTTTCTGGTGGACCTAGATTTTGATGGGGACACTGTTCAACCCAGTCCACCCTCCTTTCCTTTCTCCTTCCTTCTCCCCCACTTGGAGCATACAGTGAGCCAAGGCCTGGAGAGGAAGGAGGGGCAGGTGGCCTCTCTGGCCCCGAGCTCTAGGGGACTTGCCAGCAGGGAGGCAAGGAAGCCCTCCAGAACTTCCAGCCTCTTTAATAACACCCTTCTTTCAGTCCAAGTTAAACTTCCCTTACCCATTCCTCACAGGCAGCATAGTTTTGGGTCATGCTGGGATGGCATTTAGGAGTTATTGCAGGTGGACACGGCATCAGGATCGTCGCCTGGCACCTAAGACCCTGGGGCAGGTGTGTTGGAAATGTGGGTGAGGCAGGAGCTCAGGGCCTTCAGGCCTGTTCCCGTGCAACCCCCAGAGGGTCAGGAGGCAGGAAGGTGGTTTCTAGCTGGTTTCACGATATCCTTGAGGGCCCAGCCAATGCATCTACCATCCTGGGGACCTCTTTCTGAGACGGTTATAGATTAATGCCAGGAAGGACTGATGCTGAAGCTGAAACTTCAAATATTTTGGCCACCTGATGGGACAAACTGACTCATTTGAAAAGACCCTGATGCTAGGAAAGATTGATGGCGGGAGAAGAAGGGGACAACAGAGGATGAGATGGTTGGATGGCATCACCGACTCAATGGACATGAGTTTGAGTAAGCTCCAGGAGTTAGTGATAGACAGGGAGGCCTGGCGTGCTGCAGTCCATGGGGTAGAAAAGAGTCGGACATGGCTGAGTGACTGAACTGAACAGCAGCATAACCAGCCCAGCAGGTATGCTCAGGCACACACCAGGGCCCCACTCAACCCACAGGGACAAGGGGCTCCTCTAGAATGCGGCAGGAACGTGTAACATGCCTGTGTCAGGGGAGGTGCTGTGTTTATTTCCCCTTCCTTTAAATCTCAGAAGAATTCTCTGATTGAAAAAAAAAACACACACACAGACACAAACAAATGCGCCAGCCCTAATCTCACACACCTGGACCCAATAGAAAAGAAGGCTTTCGCTTGGATTTTCACATAGCAATGTGATTGACATCTGCATCTCTTCTCCTGTCCCCAGTCAACTCCTGTATGCAGAAAACCCTTCTGGGCATCACACCTGGGAGAAGCCAGGAGTGTCTGCTGAGCCTGGAGGGGACCGGTTCAGGTTTAGGGAGCTGACATGTGTGATGAGCAGACCCGCCCCAGCCAAGGGTGATCACCTGCTGCCTTTGGCTCATCAGGCCATTTGTCTGAGCCAAGCAGGGTCCAGGGGTGCCAGTGAGAACTGGGGGGATGATGGTGATGGGAGGAAGGAGGAATTCTGGGTACCAACTGGTCCAGCCAGATGTCTGTTAGCTCCCAGTCACTTGTCAACTGCACCCTGTGATAGAACTTGATAAAGTTGTTTCTGAGGCTGAAAATAAGGTGCAGGGAGTAAAATGTGTGGTTGATCCTTCGGCTCCTTGAATGTGGGCTCCAGGGAGCATCATCTCCAGACAGCTTCCCAAGCCAGTGCCCCACCTCCCCGGGCAGTGACCCTGTGACAGAGGACGCGGGTGGTCAGCAGGCGGGGCTCCTGCGGCCCCCTGCTGGTCACAGTTGAGCGACCCCCACCCACTCCCCTGTCTAAAGCGGCTCACAGGGAGACTTCCTAGAGAAAAGGTGGCCCAGTACCTCCTGGTTCACACCCAACTCCTACCCTGTCCTGCTTGTTGTGGGTGGCGGGCTCCCAGAACCCTCTGTCATCACGCAGCTGATGCCAGGGGTGGGGTGGGGGTTTGTGTGGGGCTTGGGCTGTCGAGAGGCAGGTGGGGTGAGGATTTCCTGCGGGAATCTGACCCCAGGGCGAGGGCTCTTTACAGGGTGCTGGGCCGCACCCTGGGCTGGGAGCCCGGAGATCGGCTGCCAGATTCAAATCCGCTCCTGAGCAGCTGCACGCCCGCCCCAGGTGCCGCCTCTCAGTCTTCTTATTTAGCATACCTGCCCAAGAGATCTGGGGCGGGGCTGGGGGGGGGTGGTCATCTCCTTAAACATGGCCTCTTAGGTCTTTTACATATGTGCTTACGATGTTACAGAAGATGTAGAAGGGATAGGCTACCCACTCCAGTATTCTTGGCCTTGCCTTGTGGCTCAGCTGGTAAAGAATCCACCTGCAATGTTGGAGACCTGGGTTTGATCCCTGGGTAGGGAAGATCCCCTAGAGGAGGGAAAGGCTACCCACTCCAGTATTCTGGCCTGGAGAATTCCATGGACTGTATAGCCCATGGGATTGCAAAGAATTGGACACGACTGAGCGACTTTCACTTTCACTTACGACGTTAAGTATCAAAGCACACAGGTAGATCCCCTCTTATTCAGACATGCACTACCCCACAGACCACATGATCTGCAAAACAGAAACTATCGACTCTTTGCCCTTTCCAGGGAAAGTTTGGTCATCTCATGATCTGGAGAGTGGAGCTGTAAGAGATGGGTATTTTTCAAGATTTTGAAAATCTCTTTTAAACTGAGAACTGCTGTGGACTGAATTGTGTCCACTCTCAAGTTCCTGTGTTGAAATCCAAACCCTCATGTGATGGACTTGGAGAGGGGGCCTTTGGGGAGATAATTGAGACGAGGTTATGAGGGTGGGATCCTTATGATGGGATTAAAGCCCTGATGGGAAGAGACACTGAAGACCTTGATTTCTGCCTCTTGTCTGTCTGGCTGTCTCTGTCTTCCCCCACCGCACACACACATAATGTAGGGAGAGAGGGAGAAGCCAGGAGGAGAGCTCTCACTAGGACCTGCCATACTGGCACCTTGACTTTGAACTTCTAACCTCCAGAACTGAGAAAAATGAAAGTCTGTTTTAGACCACACACTAGGCTACAGTACATTGCTTAGGCAGTTCTAGCAGACCAGTACAGGAATTCTAATTAGTGTTTGTATGTCCAGAAAGAAATACTACATACATCTACTGTCACACCCAGGCTGTTTTGGTGACTATGTGTGACTGTGGATGCCATTGTGGTGTAGCAGTTCTTTTAGCAGAGAGATCCCATCACATGCCTGCTCCAGTGCACTCACCCTTCCAAACCAACCAACACGTTTAGAGGCAGCAACAAGTGTATAAGACCAACATGTAGGCTGACTCACGTTGCCTTCCTACCAAAGGCCAAAGTCTAGCCATTGTGATTTCTGTCTGTCTAGCTTTGAAAATTGGAGGGTATTTTCCTCTTCTTTATCTCAGTAACATCTGTTGGCCTATCCCTGAAAGGATGTATAGGTATGGTGAGTGCATTTTTCAAATAAAAAGTTGGGATTCAAAACTGAGTAAACACATGTATGAGACTTGGAATCAGGATGACCCTGGGAAGCATGGACTGTTGGCTTCTCTCTCTTCACATCTATTTATTGATCTATAGGTATAGATATAGATATATCTGTTCCAGTTCTCAGTTCAGTCATTCAGTCGTGTCTGACTCTTTGTGACCTCATGAACCGCAGCACACCAGGCCTCCCTGTTCATCACCAACTCCTGGAGTCTACCCAAACCCATGTCCACTGAGTTGGTGATGCCATCCAACCATCTCATCCTCTGTCATCCCCTTCTCCTGCCTTCAATCTTTCCCAGCATCAGGGTCTTTACAAATGAGTCAGCTTTTTGCATCCGGTGGCCTAAGTATTGGAGTTTCAACTTCAACATCAGTCCTTCCAATGAACACCTAGGACTGATTTCCTTTAGGATGGACTAGTTGGATCTCCTTGCAGTCCAAGGGATTCTCAAGAGTCTTCTCCAATACCACAGTTCAAAAGCATCAATTCTTCAGCACTCAGCTTTCTTTAGAGTCCAACTCTCACATCCATACATGACTACTGGCAAAACCATAGCCTTGACTAGACGGACCTTTGTTGACAAAGTAATGTCTCTGCTTTGTAATATGCTGTCTAGGTTGGTCATAACTTTCCTTCCAAGGAGTAAACATCTTTTAATTTCATGGCTGCAATCACCATCTGCAGTGATTTTGGAGCTCAAAAAAATAGCCACTCTTCCCACTGTTTCCCCATCTACTTGCCACAAAGTGATGGGACCAGATGCCATGATCTTAGTTTTCTGAATGTTGAGCTTTAAGCCAGCTTTTTCACACTTCTCCTTCACTTTCATCAAGAGGCTCTTTAGTTCTTCTTCACTTTCTGGCATAAGGGTGGTGTCATCTGCGTATCTGAGGTTATTGATATTTCTCCCGGCAATCTTGATTCCAGCTTGTGCTTCTTCCAGTCCAGCGTTTCTCATGATGTACCCTGCATATAATTTAAATAAGCATGGTGACAATATACAGCCTTGATGTACTCCTTTTCCTATTTGGAACCAGTTTGTTGTTCCATGTCCAGTTCTAACTGTTGCTTCCTGACCTGCATACAGGTTTTTCATGAGGCAAATCAGGTGGTCTGGTATTCCCATCTCTTTCAGAATTTTCCACAGTTTATTGTGACCTACACAGTCAAAGGCTTTGGCATAGTCAATAAAGCAGAAATAAATGTTTTTCTGGAACTCTCTTGCTTTTTCGATGATCCAACGGATGTTGGCAATTTGATCTCTGGTTCCTCTGCCTTTTCTAAAACAAGCTTGAACATCTGGAAGTTCATGGTTCATGTATTGCTGAAGCCTGGCTTGGAGAATTTTGAGCATTATTTTACTAGCGTGTGAGATGAGTGCAATTGTGTGGTAGTTTGAGCATTCTCTGGCATTGCCTTTCTTAGGGATTGGAATGAAAACTGACCTTTTCCACTCCTGTGGCCACTGCTGAGTTTTCCAATTTTGCTGGCATATTGAGTGCAGCACTTTCACAGCATCATCTTTCAGGATTTGAAATAGCTCAACTGGATTTCCATCACCTCCACTAGCTTTGTTCATAGTGATACTTTCTAAGGCCCACTTGACTTTACAT